AAAAAATCTTAATACTTTTCTAAATAATCGAGAAAAACAAACTAAAAATTAAGGGAAAAACGGGAAATTTTCTTTTTAAATCTAAGATTTGAAAATTTGTAATAATCTATAATATATCCTAGACAGATAAACCGTCTTCGCTCAGAATCGTTTTTCGTATACAATAATGTAATATTATTGGATTCAAATTTAATTCCATCCATTACAGTAACCCACTTGTAACCTACTGTACAGCAGAGTGACATCCACGACTTACCCGCCTTTTTTATTTCTAAATTTAAGTCTGTGTTATACCTACACCTAGGTATCTGTAAGTTTTAATTTTAAGATTTTATTTTACGTGTACGCAGTATTATAAGGTACAAAATGCCCACGAAATACAGGAACTACTAAAAAGCCATTACATATATAGTCCAAACTTTTATTCCCTTTAGTGAACACGCTATTTTTCTAAGAAACTCGTCTCTACAAAAAATATGCCTCATACCTGTGATTTATTGAAACTCTTATTATAGATTACATAATAGATTATATTGACGACAACAACATTAGTTATACCTAGGCAACTCGTTTTCCAAGGTGTGTTATTTATGTATTTATGTTCTAATAGTTCATACCTATAGACTATAATAGACTATAATAGACACTTAAAACGATTTTAACAACCGGAAAACATTATTATTATAGTAAAAACGTGTAAATAATAATAACGATGATACACCTTATACTCATAATATAAAATATTAACGTGTACCTCAAGCTTGTAATAAAAAAAATTGTATCTAGTATTTAAAATGATTGCCAATTAAACTTTCGAAATTCCAATTATACATTATAAAAACAACATCAATATGACGTGTGGAGTAAATATCTGAGATTAAATTTATCTTTTGGTTTCATCTGCACATCAGCTCGCTGGTTGATAATGGAAGCTAATTTTTAGGATAACAAACGAAATGCAAATAGTACTCGTTCGTCGTGTCTCGTGTGTACGTTCATTCTTCAAAAGAGGTTAATCTTTACAAATAATCATTTTATTGGTCTATCCATAAAATTAGGCACTTATATATAGGTAATCATGATATACATTTTGAATATCGTCGAGGATTTTAATTATCAGAATGCAGTGTGTTATTATCAATATACATATTATACCTATGCCAATTATTACGGTATGGGTACCTATAATGTATATGATAACGAGTAAAACAACTCACATAATTAATAGGTAACCAAGGAATATTGAGGTGTAATATATTGTATGCATATCATTAAATATTCGTAAATCTAGCGGACACCTAATATGTGTAGTGTATAGGTACCTATATACATAAAGATTTAATGCGACGTGAAATTTCAGACAGAGGTTGTCTGCAGTATGATATAAAAGCAGTGTACTCTATATAATATCAGGGGAGTCAAATTATTTGAGCACAACGTGCTAAAAATTACCTTTTTTCCAAAGCGCACCATGAAAAATATTAGGTAAATGTAATTAAATATGTTATTAAAATATCATATTATATATGTAATAAAAATATTTAAATTTTTTGCGTGCCATGGATTTTCCATTCCTAGCTGCTATATATATATATATATTATATATAACAACTGTAAACTCAATGGCCCATGTTGCCGAGAGCATTATTAATCATAAAAAAGATAATATTATATATAAATATTCAAATATTAATTGTGTAATTTTATTGTATACGTTTATATCGACAAATGCGTCACTTGTGTATATAATGTAATAATATTAATATGTACACGCGAGTGAGTGCACACGTCATCTCAATCGCAATACGATCATCTGACGACCTGTCGAAAATGGCGCTTACCTAGCTTTTACCATCGCGTGCCCCGCAAACGTCCGTAAGCATTACTTACACGTCTATGTACAAACGATCGACCGAGACTCGGATATATCTATACCCTTCACACACATATCATATATATTTCATAAAAACGTATATAATTATAACCCGACCAGACCACACACACGACATTCGTGGTAAACCACACACACACATGCTCCACTACGCTGACAATATTTTCTGACACTAAATTTCCACCCATGTGTCACATACATATATAATAACATAAAATCTCTTCGCCGACGCCACAGTCTGTTCTAACTCCGCAGTAGTCGGGTATCTGCAGTCGTGTCAGGCGCCCACGCGTGTTTATTAATCAAAATTATTCATAATAATATAATACCAGCAGTGTGTACATTATAATATAGTATAGATACGATACTACGAAGGGATGGCTTGGCGAGTAATATTATGTGTTATAATGTGTATTGAAATTGTGTGAAATAAAATATTTTATACGGATTAATCGTCGTCGTGTAATACTTGCTCACCAACTATAGGCACATATTAACAATAATAATTAATGGGGTCGGTGCGCGTATAAATGTTTTACCTTCCTTTATGGTAATAATAATATTATTATATTATGTTTATACTTAACAGAATCCGCACGATATAATAATAGAGGCACGAAATCAACGTTCTTCCGCGATCCCGTCGTGTGTACCTATACTATACGACGCCGAAATTGTAGGTATAATAATAATAATAATAATTACTTGTGGCAAAATCGTATATACATTGATGCCACCAATTTCCATTATTAAAGTGTTTTGGTTACGATCGTATATACAAAATACATATATTTTATAATATATAATTTGCATGTAATATAGGTACGCGCACAGCATTATAAAAACTTGGGCCGAACGTTGTCATGTCCAACAAGGTCGCTGTTACTGAAGATCAAGGTCCGCGACGTTAAATTACAATATAATATAATATACTACATTAAAACTCTTTTCTTATTTTTTCTTATTTTTTCTCAGTTTTTTTTTTACTCGTTATTATAAAGGGGTTGTCCGTGAACTTCACATATTTGCATTTCCCCGTATATTTTTGTTTTAACATTAAAATAATACCCAGACGCGTTGTCCAGCCGCCGTTTGCCATGACATCTACACTGTACAATAAAATTGGACTTATACCTAAACAGAAACCGATTAGAGTAATGATTATGGGACAACCCGGCGTGGGGAAAACTGGTAAGACATAATAATAAATATTTATTGTGACAATTACACCATATATTATCATTTATACACAATAAATTTATAATTACATTGAAAAAGATTTATAAATATATAAGTTTGACAAGGATGTACATTTGCAGACTCTCTCATTATAAGTATACTTATATAATGCTAGACATTTCATTTTAGGATTTATGTAGGCAAATTGGGTATAATTRTTATACGTTCTTATATTATAACATGTGTTGCAGCGCTATTGGTGAGGTTTGTAACAAAAAAATTCATCGGTGATTACGACCCCAACCTAGAGAAAATGTACACGCACCAAGTGTCCATGGAATCGGAAATGGTCAACTTCGAGATATTGGACACCGCTGGATACGTACAAGACGTAAGAAAATGACAGTCGTTTTTCTAATAGATTTTCGTTTTTTTTTATACGCTAGTCTTTTTATGATGCCTGTTGAATGTATTAGAAATCTTGCAACTTAGAAATGAATATGCGCTGGGCTGACGTGTTCATATTGGTATACTCCATTACGGATAAATGTTCGTTTGATGATTGCAGTAGACTCAAGTTTTTGATTAACTACAACAAAAAGAAACGTCGTCTCTCCACTAAAGTAAGAATTAGACGAAAACCATTTAAGCCACCACTGAAATTATTATTAAATAATTTATTCGAAATATGATAGCAGCTTTATTCTATATACAAATGTACGATATAATATTATGCTGAAAAATATAATTATTTATTGATACTGATCATCAAAATATGCAAGACGATATCGTTATATGTATACAAATGCTCAAAATAAAATTAATTATATTGACATTTATAAAAAAAAATAGCGTTTTGTGTATTTGAATGCTATACTTGATATTTTTCCCCTACAAAGAAAATTGATAAATTATAAATATGTTTTTGGGTATAGTGCAGTGGAAAAATTTCTTTAGTGACCTATACGAAATCTATAAATACGTATAATCTTATAAAAGGTACGTTAGGGCACTATTTTTTTTTTAAGTGGAAATAAGCTTGGGCATAGAAGTCTATAATAAATAATAAGATAATAATAATAATAATAATATGTGTACGTAAATTATTTAATTTTTTATGTAAGCTTATAAGTTAAAAACCATATAGGTATACAAAAACTTAAGAATCATAAATATTTATTGTTTTTAGGGGGATGATAACTGAATAGGTAAATGCTTTAAATACTTTAAATATCCATATTATCATCATACTACTCTGGATGTGTATATTTCGATCAAATTAGTTTACAAAGCGAGGTATAGATATACAAACACCGATTTTCCCATGAACTGAGGTATAAACTAAAATCGACATACACTAAATTGCACTAGCTATATTTTATATTTTTCACTGACAAAATCGGGTTATACAGCTAAAAATGGATGATCGTTTATCCTTAGTTAATAAACTCGAAAATACTGGACCTTTTTCAATAAAAGTTATATCAATATATTCCTTCAGACTTTGGGGGTGTTTTAACTTATTTTTTCAACCCCTAAAGCCTATAGACAGCTAAAACGCGGCTCACACATGATTTTTTATTGTTTATTTAAATGATTACCATAGATTACATATTATATTACTAGAAATAAGGCATAAGTACCAACAATTTTTTTCACAAATATATTTATATAAAAAAAAAACAAATTTTTGGCAATCGCAATACCGAACTGAACAGCTAATATTATAATATGTAACCAATGACAACCCTAAAAATAAATAAATAAAATATTAATTTTTTAAGCTGAAAAACAATACATGTGTAAGCTACTTTTTAACTACCAACAGGGATTGAAAAATAAGCTWTAGGTACATTTCAATCTTTAAGAAATCTATTAATATAACTTTTATTGGAAACTTACCAGTAGTTTTTGAGTTAATTTATTACATTCAGACCAATATCCATTTTTATATACAGGGTGATTCACCAAGCATGCTCGCCCTTTTTTTTCTTTTATAATGCAGTTATCAAAATCTGATTTTTGAATATTTAAATATACTTAAAAACCATATTTTCAAATACTTGTGATTTTTTGTACCACTTAACAATCTTTTCCTGTGGAAATATACACTTTTGTTTTTCAAATAAGAACCCCCTTTTTTACTGTAAATTATTTAGTGGACAATTTCTTTGAACATTTTGACGTATTAAAATCAAAATTCCTATTAGTAGTTTTTGAGTTATTAAACTTTGTGTTCTAAGAATAAAAGGTCAATAGTTTAGGTTTATAAGGTATGTGGTCCATGGTGGATTTAAAATATTAGTCATTAATATTAATCTATCAACATAAATAATTTGTAAAAACGACATCAGTGGCTCAGTTGCTCAGTATCATAAATACTAGTTCAAATAGTACGTGTATTTTAAACTTTTGTAAAACTATTTTTAAGGACTATTATCCTTAGTACAAAACAATTTTAATAACTAAGAAACTACTCATACGGATTTTTAATTATGTACATAACATTTTTTTTTTTAATTATTTCATAAATAATTTATAGTAAAAAAGGAGGTTCTCGTTTGAAAAACAGAAGTTTATATCGCCACAGGACTCTCCTTAAGTAATAAAAAAATCTCAAGAATTTTAAAATATGGTTTTTGAGTATATTTGAAAATCCCAAAAATAAGAATTTGAATAAATTCATTATCAAAGGAAAAAAGCTGGAAAGTCGTGGATATCACTCTGCTGTACAGTAGGTTACAAGTGGGTCACTGTAATGGATGGAATTAAATTTGAATCCAATGATATTATATCATTATAATATAAAACGATTCTGAGCGGACATTTTTTTTTTTGTGATAAAGATCGACAAACTTGTAAGAAATCTTATATTAAATTTGAAAATCTTAGATTTAAAACTAAATTTTTTATAAATTTCTAGCTCAAAATAATTTGGGAATTTTTATGAGTTTTACGTATTTTGTTAAAATTCAAACTTTGAACGCTTATAAAAAAAAATGGTGACTATATTTATTTTATTTTTCAACTGCTATTGTAACAATATGTTAGGATTCTTGTATACAATTTTCAAGCTTTTCTATCCAACAAATACATTTTTATCGATATTAATTTAATAATAACTAATAATAATCGAAAATCCATATGCCTATAAATAGTCAAAATTAAGTCAAATTTTTTTAAAAATTGCACGGCGGATAGAATATACCTATATAAACATTCGTTGAAAATTTCATATATMTATGGTTATTTGTTTTAAAGTTACAGCAAAAGCCAAAATTGATTTTGTCGAAAACTGATTGTGATTAAAATTTCCCGTTTTTCCCTTAAATTTTAGTTTGTTTATCCTGATCATTTAGAAAAATATTGAGAATTTGACCCCCCAAAGTACCAACTAGATTCACTTTCTGATCTAACAAGGTACTGAAATCGAAGATCGAAGCATTTTTACTGCCCCAAAACGTAATGACAGACACAAAAAAACACATCATGGTAAAATCAATACATTCTTCTCGCTCAGAATCTAAAATGGAGATGAGCATGCAGGCTGAATCACCCTGTATATTTAGATATTGACGTTACACATTTTTCACGTATCTGAATTACCTATTACCATAAAATATTATTAGCGGTTACCTTTTATAGTATAGTATAAGCAATGTATGGCTTATGTGCTTCTCAATAAAATACCTATACATATATATTTTTAAGGATATGGTGTGCCCAAACTTTGTATGTACCTATGTCCTATATGGTGTTTTGAATACTTAACAGGTAAAATTTCCAATCGTGCTACACCACTGCATTTTCTTCCATAAATAGATTTTAAKGGGTGAGAAACTGAGAACCAAATTAAAGGTTAAAAATGAGTTTTTGAGATATTATAGTATATGAACATAAAACAACCGTGTTACAATTATAGTCTGTATTGATATTACAACGAGGCATGGATAGTACAATACCTGACTAACCTGACTATGAGGCTATAATCTATGCTATAAATTATAATAATAATAATAGGTGCCTATAGATAAGCTGACAAGCAACCAATATGATGATAACCACTATGGGTACCTTACTATTTACAGGAAACGCTTTCCGTGAAAGAGATTTATATAGATATTCGTTACTTAATCGTTATTAACTGGATTTGTTGACTATACTTATGACTAATGAGTATAATATATTATCATAAATTAGAAAAGTCATTGTTGACTAACTAAAACCATTTTTTTTTTTGTGGCTATTTTACACCTGTATAAGATAATACTACCATAGATAAAGTTATCTAATTATACCCGTATTATAAATTACACTTAATAATAATAATTGCATTACCTACGAATTTCTAAGTTATGTACTGCTTATTAGTGGGTACCTTCCCATAATGTAACAATGTATGTATACTCAAGGATTCTTAATATCATATTATCATGTATAGATATTCTTATGATATTCAGGATTTTCACTTCAGTGATCAAATGTTTTCCTTACACAAACTGGTTTGCCTAATATGTATTTAAATAAGATGATTTATTTATGAATTCTATTTTATAGACTATTTATACTTATTTGCAACATTTTTATACATTTTTTAAGGTTTCTCTGTGCCATACTGATGTCTGATACTTTATATTCATATTGATCAGATTTGGTCGTCGTGGCGTAATGACAATATAGCACTCATAATAGTTACGATAACCAATATAAATTGACAATTATCTATAAAATATAGCCTACTTATATTATGCATTTTAATATTAAAATATTGTTTTATGTAATTTGTGGTCTTAACTGTCTTAAGAATCAGAAACATGTTCCATTTTTTTCATGTGTGAAGTTTTTTATGATTATTTCATTATAATAGATATAATAGTGTAAAAAATGCATATTAATTCATCAATTAAGAATTTTTGGGCCGATTTTTTTTGAAGTTGTTCGTAATTGCCAGAAGATTTTTACGAAAGAAAATTTTGGGAAAATGCATTATTTTTTAATTATTTTCGGAATTTTTTGAAATTACCCGAGAATATAATAATAATAATTAATATAAATATTTTTATTTTTATTTTAGGGTTGCTATTGGTTATATAATTTAGTAGATGAATAAGATAATAGCAATTTGTTATAGCGTACCAATTTTAAAAATTGTTTCACCTAAAAAAGGCTAAAAATGCGAAAAATTATTATATAATTTTAGTCCTGTACCTATTTTATATGACTGTGTAAAATATCTTTTATGGAGATTAAGGTAGGGTGAACCACGGGAATTTGTTAGGTATGTGAAGTTTTGAACATAATTAGCTACGCCGGGTATAAATGTCGAATTAAACACAAATTTTGAATTATATAGCGTCATTATTTTTAACGGGCAACGAAGTGCACGATGCACGAAGATCAGCTATAGATTATAATAAATGTATATTTTAATGATATTTCTGTTCTTATAAAGCAGTGTCTGCCTGGTACTTAAAGGACCCAGGATGCATTTCTTCAGAAGGGCCCCCAAAAATGTTATTTCATAAAATTATGAAAAAAAAATGCTTAAAAGTAGTGAAATATTATATTTTTACGATTTTAGTAATATCGGGACCTCTCGACAAAAATACTTCCGGGGAGAGGGGGGGCGGATGTGTTCGCGGCCTAGCGGCCATGGCCAGGTTGACACTATCTTAATGTCTTAATTGTGTACGTATACAATTCCGTTCATCTTCGATGTTTTGAATAGTTATTGCTATACTATTTTAGCTTATTCGTCTCTAAGCAATAAGAACTAACTATTGCATTTATCACATGTTATGTATTTTATATCTATTAATTTCATGTGTAATATTGCACTATTACTAAATAAATTACTTCCTATACAGCCAGCTGCTAGCTAAATATTATATAATACTAATAATATGTCTACATTAAATCACTAAACTATCTAAAATTACTTCCTAAAACGCTATAAATTCATACCACATTTGGCACATCAATACCTACTGCCTATTTTAAATAATTATTAAGATTTTTGTTTTTTTTGTTTAATTTTTATTTGTTGAAAATTTTTTTTTAATAAAGTTAAATCATTTTTATATTTGCCTACATTTTTTTTTACTAAAAAATCTCAATTTATCTCAATGTTGCATATTATAGCAGTATATAGTACAATGTACTATATAGCTGTTAGCTTACAACAACAAAATCACATAAGTACGTATATTTATTTGATACAATTAATGGAAAAAGCACTTTTTATATATTATAAAAATACACAGCATATATTATAGGTATTAGGCAGTTCCCACCCAAAAAAAAAAATGTATAGTATTGGATACAAAATAATATATTGAAATAATTAACATTTACAATTCACAAAAAAAATCCCATTTAGGAATGATTAGGGTCCTCATTGGTAAATTTCATCATACGCAGGACAGAATTATTGTATTATAAATAATTATTTCATATTTGCACCCACTGGAACATGGGAAATTGGGAAAATTTACGTAAATTAACAGTATGGTGTATGGACCTTGATTAATTTTACTTCTGTTTATAGTTCCGGAGCATCCATCATCCATCTATTCTATCTTCCCACTAATGAAATTAGATAGAAGTGTTATGTTTCCCCAAATTCTTCTGTTACTCAATGTACCTAAATCTAGTCGTTCTAATATCGGTGTAAAATCGTGTAGAGTGCTCTCTTCATTAAAAGCAAAATACGTATATTCAAACATGTAAACTGCACGTGCTCAATCTAGTATCTACCATGCAACATACTGCTATGATAAATTTTATAGTAACTATTATTATTTTAATATTATTTCACATTATTATTTCCCACAATTATGATGACCTCATAAATCAAATATTGATACTGGTGTACCATAGGACGGTGGAAATAGATTCGTAGTATAAATAACTTAGTTCAATATCGAATTTCGTCGATATTTAAACAAGTTTAAAAAAAACTGAGGAATTGTATTTCTCAGATTTTGTAGAGTTCTGTAAAATTAACTCATAAGAAACCGTATATTACAATTTTCTCTAGCCTTAACTAAAACAACAAATTTAAGCATTTTTAATATTTTTAAACTTTTATGCTTCTTCATTATTAAAATATCTCTCAATATGTTAGATTTTAAAATTTTTATGATACAATAAGTATTTTTAATTAAATACTTAAACTTATATAAACCAACTAATATTATATGCATATTTATTATACTCCGTACACATTTATAATTGATATAATATTTAATCTCTTTAAATCTGTCTACTTATTGCCATAATATTATTTGAAATAAAAAATAAGAAAATGTGTACTATGTACATTTTATTAATAATTGACATTAACTTCAAAATAACTAGCATATGCGTCATGTATGAAGGTAGTAGCTGTGGTAAGTGACTTTAAATGAGTTACAATATAAATATACCAACTAAATCTTAATATATAGTGTATAAATAATAATGGTAGGTACAACACTACAATGTAGGTAGGTACTCGTAACGTACCTAATACTGTAAATAATGTTTATTGGTAATCATCTGATAACGGACCTCATCTCAAGGATCATCCATTTGATGTGCCAGTGATACTGGTAGGTAACAAAGTGGATCAACAGTATGATCGGATGGTGACGTACGCAGAAGGTCGGAAACGGTGCCAGGAACTTGGATGCGTGGCTTTTCATGAGATTTCAGTGAGGGAAGATGTCGACCAGGTTCATGAAATTTTTACTTAATTTTATAGACTTTTTTATTTTTATTGTATATATAAACAATATATGCATGTACATTTTTTATTATATATTTTAGGCGTATGCAGTGTTTAAGGAAGCGTATACATGCTGGAAAGCAATGTCTAAAAATCCAAAACTAAAACGCTCTTCTTCTGATCACGGTGCAGAAGCACTCTTCAATTCAGCTTCTAGATTCATAAGTATTTATATATTTATTAATTTAATATTAATATATACGATCATGAGCTCTTAATTACATAAACAATGTACCTACAAATTTAAATTATAACATATACAAAATAATCTTATAAAATAACTAATCAAGTGTCAAAAATATAAATTATAAAAAAAGAATCCAAATGGACACAGGACAAAAACCATTTAACAAATTTATCACGCGTGTAGTTGAATAGTTGATAGTGGAGATGAATGTAAAAAAACAGCAGATGAATTGAAGAAACGTGAGAGGCCCAGAATGGTCAGAACCCATTAATATTTAACAACATTTTAACAATTTTTAAGAAAACCTTGATCTACTTGGAGTTGAATTCTGATAATTAATTATCATTCAATTAAAATATTATCACATTCACATCAAAAATTTTCTGCGACCTCTCCGATACCATTTTCAACAGCCTCAACGCCGCTTTTTTTTATTTTAAACGTATTAAAATATACTCAAATAAATACATTTTACTATTATTCACGTAAGCTATATATTTTTTATTTTCTATTGAAAACAATTTTCGTCACAAAAGATAATAATTTGCTTTAAATTTGAACTCAAAAAGGAAAGGTTTAAAAAAAAAATGTTTCACTGTGCATGCGAATTAAAAAAAGATTTAAGAAATAAGATTTTTTTAAATAATTGAAATATAAAGTGCTGTATGCAATATTAAAACCTGAGTCAAATTAAAGGTCATCTGGTTAAAAATATTTTAGTATCATCTTAAATCACTATCACACTATATAGTAGTTATATACATATATTATATATCTGAAACTTATGAAAATTTATTTCGTTGTAAGACTAGATAATAAATATATTTATATCTATTTATAATTAAAATATGTATATAAACATATATATAAATTAAAAAATGAGTAGTTAAATAGATATTAATAGTAGATGCCCCTGTATAATATTCAATTTTACATTTGTTATAATATTGTATTATGTATCTGAAAATTCTGACAAATGATCAAATTAAATGTAGGTACCTTGTAAATATGTTTCAATCGATTATTAATACCATTAAAATATTAGAAAATTTGGATATTAATATAATGAGTAGGCAATATTATCATCACTCGTATTACTGCATTATTATAATATATGTTATTACTTATTATTATGGTGGCTCGCTTGTACTGCAGTGCGAAATATTAATTTTGTTAACACTTACCTACCTAAATTTTGGAAGCTTTAACACTACTTATCAGCAGCGACATATTTATAATTATCTAGTCATTGATTTTATACAAAAAAATAAACATTTAAATATTTAATAATATTCCTTGTAAAGAGGAACATATCAATTTCTGTTGTTCTGATATCTCGTTCAAAATATATAAATATCTGAAAACCATTATCCTGTCATCTTTTATCATTGTTGGGATTTTGAATGCCTCTTGTCGATTGCTATATATATTATATTTATGCCACTGTAATTAGAATTTATATTTTATAGTTTATTGTTTAGGTATTTAGAGTTTAGTACTAGTTATTTATAGTTTATTAATTTCTTAACCACTCAATGCTCATTTGCTTAAAAGAGCTGTTTTCACTCATTTACCTAGCTAGTAGCCACCTATAAGTATCTACCTAATATTATTGAATGGAATCGTAGTAAGTAGTACCTACTCGAAATTGAGTTTTCATACTAATCACATCATAGCCTTAGGTAAAATACTAAAATGTAACATCATGAAAAATAAAATACATTGCAATTTGCAGTATTCGAACTGCAAGTGACGTACTAGACAATAAGTAATATTTTCGGACATAATAAAGGTGTAGGTACAACCAGTGGCGCCGAGTCCTATGTTTAAAAGGGGGCCGTCGATCAGAGGGGGGTTGGACGTCTTTGCAATTTTTAATCAACACAATAAACTACACTTAGATTCCGGATAAGGAGTTAACCTGTGCTCGAATTGAGGGGGGGGTACGCAGGGGACGGAGTAGGCTTGTGGCCGCTGGGGTGGCTTGGGGCCGTTGTATTTTCATTTGGCCTGAGTACATTTTTAGAAGTTCGGCGCCACTGGGTACAACCCAACCAATCACCATTTTAGCYTAACACAACATAATTTCAAAGAAAAAATTGAAAAAATTATGCATGTTCATATAATAATGATAATATAAGTTTTTTTTTCCAACTACTTATAAATTAGGTAGCTAAATATAGCTATATAATAATATTGGAAATTACGTACATATCACGGTTAGACCATGGCCATTGCTGCAGTTAAATATGTGTACTAGGTACCTATGCTACCTATACGTAAAAAATATATATTATATACACCTTTACCTATACTTATACCTATACAATTACTAAACCTAATCTACGCATACGTTAGTGCCATTATAATATACCATCGTAATTAACATAGGTATGTACCTATAACATTTAACTATTAATTTGTGAAAGAATAAAAAATCATGTGAATACAAAAATGACAGGCTGTAAAAATACATGAAAACAAATGCGTATAAATTCATGTCGTAATTCGTAAACAACCGTTTAGAACTTAACGGGCATAATATATACTCATTACTAATATGTCATATATATGTATATACATTGTTTTGGAATGTTATTTGTAAAGTTTTTATTTTTTAATAATCATCATTTAAAATAAAAATATCAATACTAAATCATAATGGTAGATATTACACCTATATAGTACTATAGTAGGTATAATCAGTTACGTATTTATGGTGGTTATAGGAGGGGAGGGAGTTGAGGGTATAAATATGTCTGTTAACTGATTAGTTCTTGCTTATTAGTTATTATATATTATGTTATTGATGTTAAGACTAACGACCAAGTAATTTTCGTTCAAGTATAAAAGTGGGAAATGTTTATGTACCGTTATAATTATTAAACTGTGATTACTTGCAAAGTTTCAAACGGTGAAAGAACCATAAACTTATAGACATCTCCAGAGCGATCCGTCACCCTTAGTACAATCATTTTAGGGCACAGTTCGTTTTTGATTCTTATTTTTCTATAATAGGTACCCGGCGCAGTGTCCAYCCATTAAAACCCCAACTTTCCTCTACATGAAGGCACCAGATTGGTCCGGCGAGTTACCGACTAAAACTCGGCGAGTCGTTGACCCAAAATATGCTAAGAGTTAATTTTTATTAATTTTACATGTGGTTGTAGGTTGCTATTATTAAGTTTGCAAGTGGACCGATAAAGTATAAAAAAACTCGGTGGATAGAATCTGTATAATTCGGCCCTGCCCACAAGGCTCCATTATCTTTACGCATCATCTATAAATCAATACGCAAACCTTCATAATAAAAATCATTTTAATGTAACATCACATTTTATAATTGTCACAAATAGAGAAAGCTTGGATGGGCTTAGTCTCCCCCCGTCCAAAAAAAAAAAAATGAACCCCTTTAATCGATAGGTAGTTTTTTTTAAGTAGGTATTTAATCTACCAGCTATATATAATTACGATGATTTAAACATACTTTCCCTATAGGTTTACCACCTTATCGATTATCTATGTTAGACTTATAAATAATATTGGGGACTGAGAGCATCCCTCCTTAGAAATTAGCTTATTTGTGCCACTGTCATCTATTATAAYAGCAATATATTACAATTTACAATAAGTATATATTATTTTTATACTATATTATAACGTTATACGTATAAAACATTTGTTGCAACACTAATGCAGGTTGGCCGTTAGTGTTCGGAGATAGCGCGTGTAGTTCATCAAATCGTACGGAAGACACTCCCGAGTTCCGTGCCAGGGCTTCGACGGAAGGACACATTCGATCAGGCACGACGGCTTGTCGGTACCTGCCCACGTTGTCAGCCAGAGGAAGTATTTGCTGCTATTTGAAGAAATAAAAATCAACACCGTCGCGTATAAAATAATATACATGTACACAATATTATTACAACATATTATATATTAAGCTACCTTAGCTACCTACCTATATATTATATTATATACATTGTGAGTGGCATCGATAATATTGTCTTGATGCACAATAAAATATACTATAACACCATCGATATGTATTATGTATATAATTATACGTTAATTCACGTATCATAGGTACTATTATTATATAATAATAATTACATGATTATTAGCTACTTATGTTCAATTTATTGATATAAATCACAACGATCACGCATGTTGGCGAAAAAATATCAATTTTACTGACTCGTATATTATATTATAGCCTATAGGTATCTACACGGGRCACGGCTATACACGTCTAAACAACAGTTAATAAAATATCTACATAAAAGTTAGCCTATTATAACAACACCAATAACAATCATAAGTGTTTTCATAACGTTAAGATGAGATAATTTTATAAGTCAGTAATTATACTAATTAGGTACAATATATTKATGTATAAACAGCATACCTATGCAAATGATTGTGTAATAAAGCTACCTACCTATATATAGTACCTATAACGATTCCACCGAAAGTGCCTTATTTGACCTGTAAGAAACTTATCACTTTCATTGGTTATCGACTCCGCCAGTTTATATACAATTTTATATAATAAAAATTATTGACGATGAGAGAATAAAAATTATTGGGATGATTATATTGATAATACATCTAAATTTAATCCAAAAATATAGAAATCGTCTTCGATATCATTGGAACGAACACGGAACAACTAATAATTCCGAATTTTTCTATTCAAAACTTATAAATAATACCTATTCATTAAATCGCATCCTAATATATTTGTATTTCAACATGCATTGAATAAAACWACCTATTATGTACCTAATTCATATAACAGCATATTAAAAGATAAACATAATGGCATAATATAATTATAAAATCAGCAAAAAAAAAAAATTATAAAAAGACAATTATTTAAATAAAATATTGATAAATTCATTTAAACGAAAATGGCATATATGCGTAAATCGCATGTGTATATATTATAATCTAAAGGAAAAACAAACTAAATTTTAAAAACTATAGTGTAAAAGTTAAAGTAGAATGTCTAGTAAAATGCCTCTTCTCTTAAGCTCTCTTACGTATACTTAATATTTATTATAGGTTGTTAATCTTATTCCAAACATCCAATATAATATTATATTATGTATTGTAGTTACTTTTTTCTTCAATTGTTTTCAATATTTCGTACCTCGCACGGTACGCATTTATTTTTATATACTATATTATACAGTGAAACATCTAAATACCGGACACTCTCGGTCACTTAAATGTCGTCCGCAATTAAGAGGGAAAATACACATTGAGTACACATTTCACCGTTCCCAAAATYCCGTCCGTATTTTGGAGGTGTCCGCTATTGAGAGGTGTCCACTATTGAGAGGTGTCCGTTAAAGGAGGTTTCACTGTACTTATATTATATTATTATATTATTATTATTACTTACTCTATAGTGGACTCAATTCAGCCTATCCCCCCTAAAATCTAAAATTAGTGCAAATAAATAGATACCTGTCCACTCCAAATTATTATTTTTTTCAAAAACAAAATTCCCTAGGGCTTATGTAGATAAATGCGAGTGCTTTCTGTTAAAAATCACCTTGCCCGTATTATAATATATACAATAATATACATGCACATAAATAAGATATAATTACTTGCATGGACATGGTTATTATATTATCATAAAACTGTGCGGAACTGTCCAAATAGGTATACGCTATATATCTACAGGTATCTATAAGTTAATATAGATATACCTGCAATATACACTATACTACACCAGGCGGCGGAAAAATAAAATAGGTATAAATAATATCTCCATCGCATAATTATACATACAGGAAATAGTTTTTACTACATATCACGTAAATATATATATATATATATATATATATATATATTGTGTGTGTGTGTATGATACATGTAATAAATTTAATAGTATTATATTATATACATGCGGCAACGTAGTTTATATATTATATACATACAAGAATTACACTGCTTTACACGTGAATGTATTTTAGATTTGGAAATCGTGAGTCGTGACATTCATTTTTATATTATTATTAGGTACTTACCTTAATGCCTACACTGTATAAATGTGTATAATTTATAGTTTTGGATATAAAGATAATATTATGTTTATATATAACGTATATTGTATATATGTATMTATATGTACAAATAATTTGTAAGCTTTGATAAATTTATAAAACGAATATTTTTTATTTTTTTATCTTCCTATTTTAAGGACATTTTTGTCATTTTTATGTCATATTTTGAATTTTATAGTAAAATAGAGTAAAATATTTAAAAAAAATGTATAATATTAATATTTGTAATTTTTAGGACATTTTTTGTCATTTTTATGWCATTTTAACATATTTTTTAGGGCATTTTTTATTGTTTTTAAGGTCATCAACTTCCGAGCCCTAAACTGATAGGTATATATTTAGTTTAATAATTGGTAAATTCACTTTAAAATTTAAGTTATCTTCACAAAACAAGCTCCCTACTATGTATCTAACGAAACTCTACATAAGGATCTAGCCATCCCAACAGTCCAAAACGTCGCAAAAACTTTTTACAAACGCACACACTCCAAGTTCCACAGCCATCGTAATCCCCTGATTTCCGAGCTATCTACCAACACGCTATTCCTGGTGACCCCAGAAGGCGTCTAAAACGTACCTGGTGTCGTGACTTATTACTAATCTAAAATTGTATATATATACCCCTACCTCCTCTTAATTTTGTAATCCCGCCATCTCTTACTAGCAAATTAAAATCCTAGCCTAAAATCCTAACCTTAAATGCCTCCAATGGGCGGCTTCTTATTTCCAACCACTCAAGCTATGTCACCTCCATCACATGCACTTATTATAAAACAACATTTACAGATTGTGTATATTTAAATAAACGATAAAAAAAAAAAAAAAACTTCACAAAATTGGAAATTCTGAACGTACCTATAGGTATAATTTTTTCGTTTGCGAGGCAGAAAAACACATGCGGTTACGACATCCAAGGGTGTTAAATGAGAAGGGGGTACTTACAACATACAAATTATTATGAATCTAAAATTATGTATCACTTATCAGTAATCTACGCTAAGACGAGTACGCCTGTACAAAATATGTCGAGACATGATATAATATACCTATTACCTAGATACTACCTATATATTATTAATTTGTAACACGATTTAAGATATACAGTTTGTTTCCTTTTAAAGGTAACACTAAATAACTCTGTCCAGTGACATCGGATTAATATGCGGATTTCGGGAGGGGATAGGGAATACATAAATATTAAATACACATTTCTTGATGATTTTTACATTTTTAGATCTATCCGTGTGCGCATGCGCAATACAACTTGCATTTTTTTAAATGGCACCAGGTGTTTTGAATACCATATTCGGATAGACCGATTTTTTTTAAGTCGATTTGGTCCTTTTTTCCCATAGCTCTAAAATAAAAATTAACTAAATGGCAACCTGTCAAAGTTTCGATTAATATTATTGAATTTTTCACCAATCATACTAGAATTTTATGAATTATTATTTATTATTTTTGTGTCCGTAATAGGTTTGCAGATATTATTAAATCATTTTAATCATTTTAATTAATTCCTCAAAATTAAATTTAAACTATTTAATAATATCTGCAAACCTACGGATACAAAAATAATAAATAAAATTTCATAATAATTCATAAAATTCTATTATGATTGGTGAAAAATTCAATAATATTAATCGAAACTTTGACTGGTTGCCATTTAGTCAATTTTGATTTTAGAGCTATGGTAAAAAKGACCAAATCGACTTCATCAAAACACCTGGTGCCATTTAAAAAAAATGCAAGTTGTATTGCGCATGCGCACACGGATAGATCTAAAATATAAAAATCATCAAGAAATGTGTATTTATGTATTCCCTATCCCCTCCCGAAATCCGCATATTAATCCGATRTCAYTGGAMAGAATTATTTAGTGTTACCTTTAAAAGGAAACACACTGTATACAAGTTACTGAACAACTTATGGAATTTGGTTTTCAAAGTAATATGCGTGGTTTATCGCCAAAAATTAGCTGTTCAGGCTGTTCAGCATAGGAAATTAGGAAGAACGACAACTATAACGCTTTTAACCTATACCTATTTTATAAATTATAACATAAAATAATAGTAATTAGAGGACCTATCAAGCGTCATTTTTTTATATGTACCTACTTATTTAAAAGTGTTATACTTATTGAATATTGGGCAATTCGTTATAATTCTCTAGTCTACGTCCAGCAGCAAATATTGAAATTACTCCGTTGGATTATCTTGAATCAATGCTAATTTATTATTAATATTATTTTTTCAAATGGAAACATTGAAAACTATCATCTAATTACAAATTGTTAGGACTTATGTAGATTTTTATATTAATAATTAACATGATGAATTTGTTTAAATTGTATTAATTAGTTCGAGTAGGTGCCTATATAAGTAGCAAGTAGTTATTTTATACCTATCTACAAGACTGAAATACTGCATATTAAATATTTATATATATTTGATATTTTATGTAAAGCAAAAGCAATTATTAATCATTATTACCTATCCTTAGGGCTTAGTTCATACCTAGGAAGTTACACAACTTAGAAATTACCAGTCGAATTTTGATGCATTGAAGTTTATAATTTACAAAATAAACACCTTATGATTATTATTTAAAAAAATAAATAGGTGTGTGCCTAGGTATAAGGTGTCTATTTGAAATAATATATGGTACTCAAACTAAAAATGTCAATAAATCAGAATTTGAACAACTTAAAAGGGTTTGATGTGAAACATCCTATTTATTCCATTTTTAATGGGGGTAAAGTTACACTTATTCTTTCCTGAAAATTGTTTGGTAAAAGGTTTTGACTTTTGACTACATCGATTTGGGCAGTTTAGTTATAGTGATAATTGGTAAATAGTTAATATACTATAATTACTATATACCTAGGTAGATACATCAAAGTCTTGTAATAGGTAGGTATACGACATACGTATACAAGT